CAGAGTTTGTGTTCTACATCTGCTATTCTGTCATGAGAGTCCCTTCTTCTCTTCCCTTTTCACTTTGGTTTCTTTCTTTCTTTTCTTTACCCTAGACACTTTTTCAATTCAAGACACTTTCTCAAGTCTGGAAAGTGAAATACAATCAATTTTGTAATACTAATATTTTGAACAATGACTCTACATCTGTTGTGGGCAGTGATCAGTACAGCACAGGTGTTCAACAGATTTACATTCTATGATGTCAGTGGGGTTGACAATGACCACTGTGGCAGACTGCTAAATGCATTAACGACTGAGGCAAGATGTAGTTCAACATGAGGAGTAAGACCCAGAGTTCATAACCCAGGTGCCTATCACACTGGCATCCTGTTCTCATTCGGAACAAGAGCAGTGAAAGGGGAAGAAGGAAATCTGTCATTGTCCCTGCAAAGTCAATGAGCATGATTCTCTACTCATGGAAGTCAGTCTGTGGCTGGCCTTTCAGGTTCTCTTGAATCCCCAAAGCTACGAAGTAGCTACTTTTCTTGGAAGAATCTTGTGAATTTCTGTTATAACATGAGATAGTAAACTAGAATCAAGTTTTACAGTAATTGATGTTTTGGGTACAATTTGAACCTTAAAAACATTAACAAATTACATAGAATCTGAAGAAGTTATGCAATTTAAGCCTCACGTGTTCTCAGATTTATAGTTATAACTGTTTTCTATGGTGACATTTTTTACATGTTGAAAAGAAATATTAATCATTTTTTTTAAACCAATGTCACTACCGAGCCTTTGGATGATTAACTACTCTGTGTATTTCTTTCATCCAAACTGGCTTATAAAAGAAAGCAAAAATGACAATAAAAGAAATGTACCAATTTATTCCCTACTAATAAAGTATTGAACATTAGGGGGAAAGTGTGAAATATTGGAATGCAACATAGAGCAATTCCATTACCCATTGCAGTTTTTGGGTCATATACTGTATATAAAGAGTAATTACTTCATTGGCCAGAGACCACAGTGAAGGGATATAGAATCTGATGAAAGAGATTTTGCAATAAAGATTTTACCCCAATGTATTTGCGTCCCCAAACTTTACCAACCTTAAGGCAAGCCTATCTTCTTTTCTCTTCTGATGACAGGGGGATGGGGGTGGGGTATGACAGCAAAACAGACAATTGTATAAGCTGAGTCAATTTTAAAGAATCTTATTTAAAAATTATACATCAATATTTGAACTTTTCAAAATTGCCCTTTTTAATGGTTTCAATGACACATCCTGTTGCTAAGGATCCTACATTGTTGCATGTTGTTTTCATTAATCCTGGTGGTTCTTAACACATCTTCATTTCCGATCCTTGAATGAAATTTCTGGATTTCATTTTCTTGCTTAAAAATTTAACTGCATGGTGAGCCTCAAGGCTAGGCTATGGATTATATAAGTAAATATTTTCCCCCTTTCTCCTTTTGCTTATCCTACTGAAGCTTTGGAGAGGAACTGAAATCTTCCTAATAGGATAAGGAAGTTATAACATGTATTATGGAGAGAAGAGACTAAACTTGGCCATTTCAAGCCCCAGTTCAAGCCCTGTCAATTCTCTCTGTGCCTTAGTTTCTCATGAGCTATGGAGAAAAATATACTATAGGATGGCTATGAGAAGCATTTTATAGTACTCAGGGAACAGTACTTATATATTTTTTCAAAAGTACTTAAAGCTTATTAAAGTACAAAATACAGAAAAGTCAAAGTAAAATCATGCCCTATAATTAGTTTAGCTTTCTTCAATGTTGGGGGATGGGATTCTAAACATAAAATGCTACTTTCATTGAAAGAAATTAGAAATTATGTATTATTTTCATTTTCCACTTACTATTATTTCCACTTATTATTTCATCATTAAAAACTAAACGCTTTCTGATTTCCAAATAGTTCCATACAATATTTTAATGATTTTTTTTTGTTAAACTTATCAAGAAAACTGCAATGGAAATATTTAGAGGTGCTTATTGGGTGAGCATATTGGGAATTTCATCGTCACTTGCAATATTTGTTGCTATTTTTTCCTCAAGCCTTTGAAAATTTGTTTTTTTTTTTTTTGGTAGTTCTGTAGCTCAAGGCCAAGGATTCACACATTGTATTCACACACACACATTGGTCCTGTTGTAGCCCAAGGTCAGGATTCACACATGATTAGCATACACTATAGTACTGGCTGGAGCCCAGCCTGGTAGTTTTAAATTTATGGTAACTTTTGATGTATTCTTTTAATTTTATGAAATCACTGCTATCAAATTTATTCTTCTGTGGGCTACTTTTTTAATGCTTGTTTTTAGAAAGTTCTTTCCTATCAATGGAAGTAAATAGCTATATTATTTTTTAATAACTCATTTATAGTTTTTAGCTTTTAAAAATTAGTTTTGATTGTCTTTAGATGTATTTGGTGTACAGGTTGATGTAGACTTATATGTACTACCTAATAGATTTGAGAGTTCATATAAGATAGGGTTTAGCATAATTTCCACTAAATATTATAGGCAACTAAATTGCTCATTCACAAATATCTTCTATATGATGAAACCCTACCTTCCCCCTTTTTTTGAGACAGGATCTGGCCTTTAAGTCTTGGTCATCTTGTGCCCACTTCCTGAGTTCAGGAATTGTAGGCATGCACCCAGCATGATGCCTTATTATGCATCATTCTCTCAATATCTGTGTCTCATTTTAATTATCTTGTCTACAAAATGCTTTCTCATTATTTTCCCGTTTGTAGAAATGTCTTGATTACAGCTACACACATCTTTATCTTCCAAGCAAATTTAGAAATACTTTATCAAATTCTTTCAAGTTCTGTCTACTCCAAACATAAACTGTTGAAATTGCAATAAATCTGTACATTCAACCCCCTAATATTCTACATGATAATATAGATATGCTTCCACATTTTCATAGTTTTTTTAGGTTATAACAAAGTACTTTATTGTTGTTGTGAAAGAACACAGCCTTGAGCAGGGACCTTGTTCCCAGTGGACTTTTCACTTAACAACAGCATACTTGGACTTGCTTATTTTTCTTTCTTTGGTGCTGGAGATAGAACCCAGGGGTGTGTGTTAAGTGCACAGTCTATCGTGGACACACACCCAAGTCCTGCAGGGCTTTGCTTCTGTTTTTCTACACGCAGAATAAATAATTTATAAGGGTTCTCTGCTTCAAAAACATAAAAGAATTTAACTGGTACTTGGGAGAGAACACTAAGGCTCAGCCCAACTTTTCAGTTATGAAAACTGGAAAGAGCCACTGGTTATTCACCTTATCTAAAATGTACAATTACATAAGATTGCATGGGTGAAATTAGTATTTTGTCTGGCAAAATGAAGAGGGAGAAAACATAAGAAATTGATGTATCTAGGTCTGTCACGGCAAGTGAAGGATGACTTTTGAATACAATGGAGAATGCTGGGTATCTAATTACCTTCCATATTACAGGGCTTAGAGTATCCCTCATTTACCTCTCTTGACAATATTTTTGACACTAGATGATCAATATAAAAGATTTCTCTATCTGAAATTAAATTTAAAATAAAAACTGATTGCTATCCACAGTTGTGATCCAGTTACAAAATTGCCTTTATGGCGTTGGTCCCAGAGTACTGTGCCGTCCTTGGAGGAAGCCTTTGCACCTGTGATTCACTTGTCCTTGGTTTCTAGGTGGCAGAATGGCAGAATGCCAGCCCTGGCCAAGTATTCACAGTGCAGCCTTTGGACTCTTCTAAACTGAAAGTCAGTATGTAAATGTGCAACATGACATTATTATCCTAGTTTCCTGGCTGCTTTCAGCAAGCACTAACTGCCACATGAGGTCTCAAGTGTTCTGGCATAGTATGCAAGTGTTCAAAAGGAGTTAAAGTAATGAAATTGGATCTACATTTCCATAGACATTCAAGCTGGCATGGAGAAATGGAGTCATGGAATCAGGGTTGGATGGTCTCCACCAAACAACCTAGGCAAGTGTCTGTGATGCCAGGCTACTGAGCTGAATTCCATCGTGAAAGGCCACCCCTATTTCTTTCCCTGGGTCTAAAATTACAAACTATGCACATTTCTCTAGGTTCACACCAGGCACAGGGTGCTTATACTTAATCTCCTCCCACCCGTTCCCTGGTATAGGAGAATTGCCTAAGATTCACACTGAAGTATGTACAGAAAAGGACTGCAGACTATATGAGCATTATTTGGAAGATAAATGTGTAGCTGATCTAGGAGTGTCCAGTCAATGCTTCTCAGGGCAAGTCATTTTTTAATCAGTTGTTACTCTTGCCATGTATTCTTGTTTGTGCTCAGTATTTTCTGCCATTGAAGTATTTGTTTGGTCAAGTCTAGGAATACAGTTCAGTGTAGAATTCTTTACAAAGTCATTGGTTCAATAGGAAATATAAAAGAAACAAAAAATATTCAAGAAAATATGCAGAGAGCCAACTAAGGTATGCAGGTGGTGGGATCAAGACATTGGGTTTGAGGCTGGGCTATAGTTCAGTTACTAGAGTGCTTGCCTAGCACCATGTAAAACTGAGTGTGTTGTGATAGAAAATGCCTGTAGTCCTAGCACTTCGAGGGTAGTACAGGATCAAGGATCAAGAACCTGGACTACTTAAGATCATATCTGGAAGAGAGGGGACTGGTGAAGAGGGGAGAGACTGGGTTTGCCAGGTAGGTTTTGCATCAGGTTTGGCAATTCTTCCTCTAATATCTGCATACCACCCATAGCTCTGTTTCCTTGTTCCTGTTCATCAGCATAAGGGCAATAGAATTCAAGTGTCCTGAATTGCAGCCATCTGGTACATTCCTCCTGCCATCTTTCCTGAGATTTTCATGGGTTCCAAATATCCATTTGCATGAATATAGAGATGAAGTTTATTTAACATTAAAAATGCAAGAGAGGGACAGTTCAAAGAACCAAACAAGAACCAATATATACCTTTTACTCATTCAGAATTTTTTTATTGCATTTTAGGATGGTGAAAAAAAAGGATTTATAAATAAAATCTATGCCATTCAAGAAGTCTGCATTAGTGTCCAGAACATCCTAGATGAAGTGGCTTCCTTTGGCGAAAGGATAAAGAAGTGAGTGATGCAGAAATGTGACCCCTGGCCTTTTCTAGGACAGTCTATTTGACTCAGGATGAGATGCAGACAGAACATGTTCTGTCTGGCACATCTGTCTGGCACAAGTCACTCTTGGATAATCTATTGTTCAGTTTCCTCACAATTTATTTTGTTTTTATGAGTCCTTGGTTTTATGATGGTTCTGTCCATTTCCTGCCTGAATTTTACAGCATATTGGTTAGAAAGAAGTCATAATTGTAGCTTTGAAGAAAAACACTGTCCTACGTTTCAGCATATTTTTTCCTACTGAATTTGTTCTTAAAAAGAATATGAAGTCATAATAGAAAGATAATCTAACCTAATACATTTTAGGTAATCAAGATACCTGTAATGTACGGGTCTAATTATATTTTTATGAAGTTTAATATAATCACTTAGAAAAAATCACAACTTTTTCAATTATAAAAAATTATAAAAATTGTAAAATTATAAAAATTATAAAATTATAAAAAATTCCTTTAATAAAATGTTTTTAGATTTATTTAAGTGTTGCACCTTCATATATGTATGTGTACCACATGTGCCTGGTGCCCTTGGATGTTCCAGGACAGCAATGGATGTCCTAGGACTGGAGTTGCATGTGGTTGTGAGCCATCATGTGGGTGCTGAGAATTGAAACTGGCTCTTCTGCAAGAATAAATGCTCTTCACCACTAACCATTTGTATTGGTTTGTTTGGTTTTGCATTATGTTTATGTGTTTGTTTTTATTTTTGAGACAGGTTATTACTGTGTAGCTCTGGCTAACCTGGAACTTACAGACATCTACTTGACTCCCAAGTGCTAGGATCAGAGGTGTTTGCTACCACACCCACCCTTTGATGAAGGAACATGTTTTGTTGGGATATAATGGACAATTAAGGAACACACAGTGACTTTGTCTTAAAAAAAAAAAAAGTCTCACTATGTAGTTCTGGCTGTTCTGGAATTTACTATGTAGACCAAGATAGCCTTGAACTCAGAGATTCACTTCCTTTTTCCCCAGTACTGGGATTAAAAGCATGTGCTATTTTGCCCAGCTGATATTTGTATTCTTATTCTTACATGGTGCTATTTTAAATAACTTTATTTACTAACACATTTTGTTTTATTTGTTTTCTTTTGGGACAGTGTCTCATGTCCCTGGCTGGCCTTAAACTTAGTATGTAGACAAGGATGAGCTTGGACTCCTGATCCTTCTACCTCTACCTCAAGAAAGTGTGTTTTAGTTTGTCCTGGGTTACATATTGAGAACCTGCCTCAACAAAATCTATTCTTTAAAAAACCTGGCTCCAAGGGTTGCTGGAAAACAGGGTAACCAGATTGATTCAAGTTTGGGTCTCCTATTAGAAACAACAACTTTAGGATAGTTATCTATTTATGACTGACCTATAACAATTATCAATAACTATTTAAGAAAGGCTGCAGTATGTCTGGACATGCCTGTACTTTCTGAGTTTCATTATCTATTCTTGATTTATTATTCATGACCAATTGTTGTAATTTAAGAAAAGCAGTGCACAAGAGAAAGATGCCATGAGACAGGGTTCAAGCAGAGGTTTTTTTTTTTTTTTTTTTTTTTTTTTTTTTTTTTTTTTTTTTTTTTGAGAAAGGGATCATAAAAAAGGGGGAAAGCAGAGTAGGCAGACCAACCTTCTAAGTCAGGAGCAGCAGGAGAGAGAGAAGAGGGGGAGAGAGAAAGGAAGGAGAGAGAGCAGAACGGAGACAGCACACATACAGATCTTAAAAGGAACAAATTATTTAAACTGAAAGTATGAGTCATCATAGCATACTTTTTGTGCTGCAAGGAATAATGCATTTTATTTTGTAAATTTTTAAATTTAATACATTTCCATGTACACAATGGTGCTTGATTTTCAACTTTTATGTGTAGTACACAAAACCACCTCCTTTTTACCCCTAAATGCAATTGTCTCACAATTCTAAAGACTAAGTCTCTCTTTTTGCCTGTACTTTTAATAAGCCTCCCTTGCCCCACGGCCTAGCCTAGAGCACAGCATGCCACCCTATTTTTACTGAACATTATGTCACACTGTATGCTGAGTCCTGTGAATGCCTCATCGACACTAGAACCTGCTGGCTCCTAGTTCTCTTCACTAGCTTGTTAGGCAACCAGTCAATGCCCACTATTGTCTTACCACCTTCTGTGACCCGGCCTTCCTGTAACCATTCAGTAGAAGCACAGTAACACCGAAGATCCAGCAGCTCTGTTCCGCTCCCATCTACTTCGCACATCTGGATTCCTTCATAGCTTACGTCAGATTCACCACAGAGCATGCTCAAAATACATCAAGCACAGGCAGCACTGATTTTATTCCTAATTGTCTAGACATTTCTAAGCAAGGGCAATGGTAGCAAGTGACATTCACAAAGCTAACTGTCCTGTCCTCCTTCCCTGGTTTCTAGATCCATTGGAAACAAAGCTGAACAGAAAGAGTTGTCCTAGAAGGAATTCTAAAATTCAAGGCTCACACAGTGCTCCAAGAGTTGCACTTACAGTTACTGCAAACATCTATTCCCAGTTTGGGGATATGGAGTTTTTAGGAGGATGAATGTTGGGCCCTGAGATATCCTGTTGTATAAAATCTAAAAATAACACAAGGATTGGTACTAGTTTTAGTAGCAGAAAAACTTTTTTTTTTTTTTTTAACTGTTTAGGGAAGTACCCAAGTTGTGCAGTGACTTTAGACTATGAAATCCCTGGGACAACCTGGTAGTAAGATCCTTTCCCTGGGCCTGTGTTCATGGATGAAACAGATTATGACTAACCTATGTCCTTTGATAAACCACATTTATTTGAACCATTGTTTAGAAAAGTGTTAAGTGCTCACATTACTGATTTGTTACTTTTCCATTCAGTACTTTCAACTGGACTGTCCCATTCTTAAGCTGGCTGGCCATTGTAGCCCTCTCTGTGTTCACAGTTATTCTGTACTTCATCCCACTGAGATACATTGTTCTTGTCTGGGGTAAGTAAAGCTTTTTAAAGAACAATAAAACCCCTCACCTGTTTTAGCAGCTAAGAACAAACTGTTTTTAAGAGGTGAGTTATACCATCAGTAGTTCTCTATATTTATCGTCATGTAGGTACTCCATGATGAGAAGAGACAGGTCCGTTAAAAATCAAAACCACAAAAAGATTTAGGTCTCAGTGTAAAATGCATTTTTCATATCTGGCACCACAGCCTCCATCATACTATAAACATGTACTGGTACAGATTCCTCATATATTAAAGTGTAACTTTGTCCAGATATCACTGATTTATTTTCACCACTTAAATGCCAAAGGCACTTTAAACCATGTGGTATGTTTAGGACAATATACCTTTTGCTGTGGTATTTTATCCTGTGAAAGTGTCTGTAAACATGGTACTAGCTGCCGGTTTAAAAGGTCACTTTTAGGACTCCGGAAAAGCCTTACTAGCACTTACAGGCTCCTTAAGGAAACCAAAAAGTCTACTGAGTACGAATGCTTTTAGAAAAATCTACCTTAAAGGCAATTGCCCCCTAATATTTATGCAATTTTGCCATATGCTTCCAACAGTCCCTTTGACCCTAGTACCCATTCTGGAGGTGGCCAGTTTTGGCATTATGAAGAACTGAAACTCAATTTTTCTTTTCCTTCTTTGTGAAATTTTTGGTTTAGAAAACCCATTAGTCCTTATAATCCACCACCATATAGAAATATTTTCTATTTGTCCCTCACCAATGTACACATATATCAAAGATTGCTAAAGTTAAAAAAAATGCAAGGATGAAAAATGGGCCTTAAGAAAACATGCTTACATTGTAATAACAGGATTACTATGGAGATGTTTTTGCCTCCCAAATCATTTAAAGAAATATACTAGAAGAAAGTGGATTAAGAACAACATTCAATTTAGTTTTAAGATTCCTGTTTTGGGGGCTGGATTGACAGCTTGGCAGTTAAGAGCACTTACCAGTCTTGCAGAAGACCCAGTTTTGGTTTCTAGAACCCACACAGTGGTTCACAACCACCCATGACTCCAGGCTCAGGGGATCCAATGCTCGATTCTGCCCTCTAGAGGCTTGAGGTACACATGCACGCGCGCGCGCGCGCGCCCCCCCCCCCCCCCCCCCCCGCCCGCGCCCCCCCCCCCACACCTTTAAATAAAAGATACCTGTTTTCTTTCTCTTTTGGGGCCAAGTTAACATTTTTCCCTCTTAATCTTTGTAGTCACTAGTATTACCTCTAGGCCCCGGATGGAGGATAGAGGAAGCAGTGATTATATTTTCCTTTTCTAATTTCTAGCATTTACAGAGATTCGATTAAGTCACCAGTTTTCCCATTTGAAGGATGGCACTTAAAATTTTAGCTTTTTATCATATTCTCATCTATTAAACACTGATGTCTCATTCATTCTCTGACATTCAGTGCAGATCCTGTCTCACTGAAGAGATCAAGGCAGATCTAGAAACCATACCTTTCTAGGGTCAGGCTTGCAGAACCAGCTTTACTGCCCTGTGGTGAAGACCCCTCCCCCACTGGCCTTCCTCACTCAGCTTCTCTGAAACTGAAGCCCAAGGCAGACATCTGGTTATGGAGTTTTTAGGGCCACCTGTATGGCCCCAAGGTCTAGCTGTCTTAAAAATAATTTTACAGGATGTGTTTGAGTATTGTTTCATCAGACGAAAAAATAATAAAAAAAAAACCTATTACTTTAGCGGTAGGTGATTGCTGAAATATTAAATCCAAGACACAGGTCTCATGGCTGGAAACAGACCAAGACCAAGGTGACAGAAGTTCATTCTGTAGGAATGCTATCAAAAGCTAGGACCTAAGTCTATTCCTCAATTTGCACCAGTGTGTGGATTTAACGAAAAGCTGAATACTTTCCCCCCAAAATTTACAGCAATATTTTTCATTTCAACTGAAACAATAACCAACCATCAAAGTTATGTGACTTGTAAATATCTTGCTTGCTTTATAACAGCAGCACCTCCTCCCCCTAAAATGTGTATCATTGGAAAAGTGGAAAACAATAAATTACCTAACAATCTAAATGTAGAAATATAGGCAGACAAGTCTCATCATGGCTAAAGCAAATCATCCAGGGACTGCAACGTTGGCTGAGAATCTGCTAAGGCAAGACACTGTTCATCCCTTCTAAGGCATCCCCTTTTGTGTTTCCCAAACCCTCACCTATTGGGAAGCTATTAAGCTGTAAAGAGAAAAAACAAGCAGCAATTGAGCTGGGAAAGTTGAAAGGAGGTGGTGTACTAGGCTATCCCCTCAAGGTTCAGGGTTAGCACAGTTGATGTTCAGATCGCCATAATACTTTCTCCAGAAATGTGCTTTGCCTAACTCCACGCTCAATAATGAACTCAATAATGTTTGAAATGTCACTTTTTTAGGAATTAATAAATTTACAAAAAAGCTTCGGAGTCCATATGCAATTGATAACAATGAACTACTTGACTTCCTTTCCAGAGTTCCTTCAGATGTACAAGTGGTATGTATGTTTCATTATTACTGTGCCTACTTGGGTGTAGTATGTCACTGGGTTTTAATTTTTAAACTCTTTAATGTCAAAGGTCATGATAAAGTTAATAAAGCCCACTGAAGATTTTGGCAGAACTTTAGCCAACTAGACATTAATCTAGGAAACCCTATACAGAACAGAGAATAGGAGACTGAAAGTCAGTAATCACATGGCTTTCAGGGAGAATGCACCCAAAGCCCAGCTCAGTTTGTGAAGAGATGTCATCAAGATGTGAGCAGAGAAAAGTTATTTTAGATGAAGATCATGAAAGTAAAATGGGTGCTTACAAACTATCTGTGCATAATTGCATAAATTCAATACATTTTAAAGACGCATGGTATTGTATACTTTAGATTGGGGAAAAGTCTACATTTGGAATACTGTAGCGTATCACACAAATTCTTTGAATTACTTTGGGCTGATCATGTACTAATGGACTGATTTCAAAGTGGAATATAAGAAAGGTTTTTCATCACAATCTTGAGGACAGGTTTTAATGATAACAATTTACTTAAGTTTCAGTTGAGTTTTTCATTTCATGTATAAGACAATGGGCTAGGTGAAGATTAAGACTGTATTTAACAAACATCAAACTGCAACCAAACCATTGTCCAGCTCTTCAAAATTAGAGATAGATTTTCTTTCATTGTATTGTGTTAGTAACAGTCACAGTCTATTAGTAAAGTTCCCATGGGGATTCAGGCAGTTTCTGGCAGTGTTTCCCTCCTGACTCTGGCTCTAGCTCCCTGCTGTTCTTTGCACCAGCTGGGGTTCTCACTTGATTTCCAGAGCAGCACTCCACTCCCCCAAGCAGTCTCTCATTCCTTAGCTTTTCCTTCTTTTGCCAGGAAGTGGCCACCTGACCACTCTTTTTCTTAACTGTTTAAACAGGTGCAGTACCAAGAACTGAAACCAGACCATTCTCATAGCCCATATAAAAGGAAGAAAAACAACCTTGGCTAGCCAGCTCCCAGCACTGAAGAGACCAGCATGTTTGGGAAGATAAAAGAAAAACCCTTCAGCCTCGGCAGCATTTCCTTTCTTTCTGCTTTTTATTTATTTTCCCTTTTTATTATGAGGAAATTTGTAAATAGTGTACAAAAGGCATATGTCTTTGAAAATATACTTCCATTGTACAGACTCAACTTGATAAAGGATTTTAGCTGGTGGAGTATGGAAGCCTTGTTAGTTATAGATAATATAACCAACTGAAAGAATAAAAATAATGGTTATAAAACTGGAAGAAACATATCTCTAGAATTATAAGTGAAAGAACCAGAGTATCAGATTAAATGCTCAATTGTACTCTGGTTAACCCTACATAAAATATAAATGCTGATTTGTTCTTTAGGTTTGTTGTAATGTGACTATTTCTTACGTGAAAAGTAAGTCACTATTTTTTTTTTTATGTTTATACAGTTCAAAAGGGGGGGGGACCCCAAATCTTGAATAATGGGATGTTGCATTTCAATGTAACATACATTCTGACTTTCATTCCTGTGTAAGTAAGCCCCTTCTGTATGTCTAAGGCTGATTTTACGCTCAGGAGTACAGGCACATTCATATACTTGGCTGTTTCCTTACACACAATCCCTTAAGAGAATCAGAGAGTTTACGAATAAAACTTGTAAGCCTTCTATCATTCCATCTAAAACCTTAAAATCTCTCCAGAATTATATTAAATAAATACTGCCAGGTTTATAAATGGTTATCAGGATTTTTATATATATATATTTATCAATATTTAATTTATACTGTTATCAAATTAGCAAGCCAATTCAGTTGTCAAAAATACTAGCAAACTAAATCCATACTGCATTTGGTGTTAAATTATGCCCTTGCACATCTTAACAAAAAAAAAAAATTAAGTATCCTCACGGAAAAATAACAACAAAACAGTATCTGCTTTCTCATTAGACTAGTAACATGCTTTAATATTATAATACATACTATGAATTTTATTACTGAGTTTTAATGTAGAGAATGCAGTGGACTAAGTGCAAGGCCAGTGTGAAGAAAGATCACTGATAATGCATGAAAACCTGTTTTGTAAAATAAACTTTTAAAGTGGTTACCATTAAAAATGTTTCCCTAACCACACTCTATCTTCAACAGTGCATTCCTAAAACTAACTCCAGGGTCTATCAAGGGAACATACCTCTGCAGAGTTAACGTGGTTAGTGAGAATGTCCTCACTGACTTGTTAAAAGTATCAAACTCAGTGGAAATTGCTCGAGACAATGTTTTGCACTACTTTATTAATTGCTATTAATAAATAACGGGTGGGATGAAGGTGGGGGGCTTGCTGGAGAATGTAGAAAAGCAGAACTATATATTTCACTCTAAAGAATTCTTTAAATCTCATCAAAGCTGATTTTTAAAGTATTTTTATTTTAGAAATATGTTGTTAAATACTATTTCTTATAATAGAACTATTTTGATGTTTATACACTATGCTTGGAAGAATGTTGACTAAATTCCCTTTCTACAGAAAGGCTTTGACCTCACTTCAACATGCTCTATTTAGTCTATCATGTTTAAAATGACATGCTTACATCTGCATTCCTTCACTGTTTGTGGCAAAAACATACTTTATGAAGCTGACCTACTACAAACTTTATTGATGAGATCATTTGTTTGGTTATCAGTTCTGATTATACCTGGGTGAGATTTATGTTCTGTGCTGACAGTCTCTACTCAAATGTCTATAAGCCTGACATTCTATAACCTCAAATGTACCTATTGGATGTAACCATTAACAGATGACAAAGTTTTGTTTCATTGTGTAAGATTTCAGATGTTTAGTTCAATAGTGATGTTGACTACATACTCACTGCATTAAACACAAAAGAAAAGAATCATTTCTACGTAAAATCACTATTTTTTTTTTCCTGAGTTGAGCTTCGTGGTGGGATACTGGGCTTATGTATACTCATTAGTGATACTTCACTTGGGGAAACTTAATTGATTTGAGCAGGGCTATTCCTGAAACCCTGACTAAGGGTATAAACTCAGTACCTTTGGCATGGTAAGCATCCAATAAAGCAGAGAAAACTAGCTGGAGTCAAAAAGTCATCTTCAAGCTGGTCTTTATGTTTTCAGAAACCAATATATTTATAGGCCCAAAAAGATAATGCCAAGTACAGATAGGATTGTAACTTTCCTACATAGGTGCATATCAAATTTAAGAAGTATGCCTTTGTTTTCAGTTTTGTTTTTGTTTTCCAGAACTGAGGGCTGAGTCCAGAGCCCTGCCCTTAATATGCAAGTGCTCTACCACTGAGCTAAATTCTCAACCACAAATTAGATTTTTATTTTATTTTTTTTCTGAGACAAACTTTCTCTGTGTAGCCCTGGCTGTCTTGGAACTCCCTCTGTGGGCCAGGCTGGCCTGAAACTGAGATTCACTTGGTTTTCAGAGATATTTGAAGAAAATATTCTAAGTTATAGGAAGAGACTTAATGTGATTCAGCATCTATTTGCATTGCTAAATTTAACACATTGTAAACTCTCAACAGTCTATATTTATATTTCAAATTACAGACATTGCTGTAGAACTCTGCCCCCTGGGCAAAACAACTGCCATGTTTGTTAGATCCACAGTCCCTGCTTATAAAAGACCACCACAATCAGGCTTGCCATGGACCCTCAAAGGAGTGGGTAGAGACGGGCAGTGGACCTGAGACTCCAGCAATTTGGATGAAATTCTGCCCTAAGTACATGTGGCCTTACCTAGGTGCTAGAGTAGATACTGTCCAGGGCAGGTTACGAGAAAAGGGCTACATCTATGAAAAATGGGGAGGCCATAATTTATACTGGTCAAGACTTCCCAGTGCAGTTGCTTTGGGGTCATCTGTGTTCCTGTAGGTGACTCCTCACCAGTACATCTTCTGAAAGCTAGCCTGATAAACTCATTGGCTCATCAGTCTGAACTTTGGTGGGATGCTTTGTCATTGAGATCATGTAACAAGGAGGTAGATGATGTTTAATTCTGCTACCATTAACTGGGATAATTCAGACATCTTGCCATCTTGTAACCTTTTAACACATTTTAACATGCTATTACATAATAGTTCATTTTACTACTGTTTCAGACTCAAGTTGAGAGTTCTTGAGAGGGAGGACTGTTCTAAATTAATTTTGAGCCATTCTACACATTAGGATAATGTAAGTTAGGCTATTTTTTTTAACATGACTTCTGATGCATCTATTGTATATCTACTTTATAACCCTGAGAAGGCAATTATAGTGTATGTTGGTGTCTAAAATATAATCAAACCAATCTGAAATTTGTAAATAGACAAATTTAAATGATGTTTAGGAAAATAACTTTGTAGAAGTTTCCATAAATTTTAACAAGACTCTGGCCTCTAACTTGGAATCAGCCTCCCAAGTGCTAGGATGAGCAAAATAGTGCTGAAATTAAGCAGCTAAATTCTATCCTGGGGCCATAGGAACTTTCCACTTTGATATCAAAATCCAAAGATGTCCAATATTGAGACTAAAACATAGCAAACCTTATTCAAAGTCTATCATTTCATTTATAAACTCAAATAAGCCTGACTGCTTACAACACTTCTGAGGAATAATGTTCTTGAGAAATTTGTGCTCACCCTAAACAAAAACTGTAAGGGGCCACGTGGTTCAAGATACAAGACAGCCAGTATTATTCCTGTGACAAAGAGACTCAACTCTTACTAAATTAAAGCATGTTTAAGTTTTGGGGGTTGGAATGTTACATGTGTTCACAGATGTTTAGTCACTGGTCTATTAGAGTATGTAGAGTCAGCCTTCTCTAACTGCTCAGTTGAATTAAAACTACCTAAATATAATCAAAAATGTCTTTCTTTATAATTCTCCTTCCAAGGATGATTGATGTAACTCACTGAAACAAAAAACAAACAAAAAAACCCAGCAGAAAGTATCTCCTTCTTTTGTTTTGGGACTACTTTTACACTCATTTTCCATTTCCAATGGCACCTTGTATAATGGCAGTCACATGAGAACTTACTCCAGCAGAATCTGTGACTTACACACAAAGAAAATCTCTATGTTGAAACATTATTAAAGAATGTATTAATGCCCAAAGTATTTATATGAAGTAGACGGGTCTGCTACAATCCATTTGCGACCCCGGACTCAAGGGTTTTGGTTTGATTTAAAAAGTAAAAGGGAAAAGGAAAACAAAACCATCCAAAAAACACAAAATGAGACAACTGAATATATAATTTGTCTCTAATATTTCAACTCATTCAGTCTTTCATATTCTAAGCTGAAAACAAAATGGCAAAATAAAGCTATAAAAATTCCCAAAGTGGTGTACTACACAAACAATATTTTTGTCAAAACAATTTAAAAAAAGATAGTTCCATGTCTTTGAATGCAGTGGAAAAAAGGGGGTATTTAAAACAAAATTTCATTATTTTATGTGTACAAGTGTTTGTCTGCATGTATGAAAAATACAATGCCCACAGAGGCCAAAAGAGGACACTGGATCCCCTGAAACTGGAGTTTCAGACTGTGAGCTGCTGAGAACCAACTTAGGTCTTCTCCAAGAACAGCAAGTGCTTTAACTGCTGAGTCCCCAGTCTTAGAACTAATTTTTAAAAAGGCAACAAAATGGTACTGCATGTTGTACTTTCATCAATGGGGTTACTGTTTTGGGCAGAGAGCTTTAGTTGAATCACTATGTCAATGTGCTATTATTATGTATCAAAAACACTACAACAAAGGCTGGCCTTCCTTGCTCTATATTTCTCAATGTTCTCTCAAAGAGAAAAGGACCAAATTGAGCCAGTGAAAAACCACCTTATTTCTCAGGAAGACTGCTTTGAGAAAGCTCTGAGCTCTGGCTGAAGGGGGCTGTGACTACTACTAATGAGGAAAGATAATATTGGCTCAATCTTGGGGTCAAAGGCCAGCTTCAAATTGGCTTCAATCAAGTTAAAGGATTTTATTTTGCCTGGGTTCAAGTAGTAACAGATTTCGAAGAAATGCTAAATTTGTACAGAAAAGTGCACTCATGGTTCCAACCATTTTAAATTGTGTTCTGCATTATAGGAAGCACCTGAGACAACAGTCAAGTATTAGCTTTCACAAAGACAGCTGGATCATAGAAGTGAGCCAAGGGGAAGGAAATGCCAATATTTTTCTTAAGATCCCTTTTTACAGCTACCAAAGAAATGGAATCCATAACTAAATTCCCCCATAAAATATTCTTCTTTATACAGTAGTGATTCCAATGATTGTAAACAAAAAATATATCTGTAGCCTGTCTTAGATAAATTTTGAAAAATACAACTTTTTATTTCCTGTTACACAAAGGGACATGCTTGTGATTTTGTCATTACTCTTGTGTATAGGTGAGTAGATAGTCCCAATTTCTAACCAAATTTACAGACTCATATGCTTATTACACTTTCCTAGAATTGTGAAGCAACAGAACCTACCCGGAAAGGTCAAATGACCGAACCCATTTGAAGAAGCACCCCCTTAAATTTCATTTCCATTTCATTTATTTGATATTCCTTGGTATTTAAAATTTCCCTAATGGATGTTCAAAGGAGGGTGGCTTATTTAGAGGTTGAGACTACTGTTCTATGGTAGCCTACATGCCTCATAAGTGTCAGGGTTAAGATTCAATCCTAGTATTGAAAAAAATTCAAAATAATTGGATAAAACAATCACCAGTACTTTTTTGTTCTATGTTTTGGTGGGGATAGGAGTAAGCACAAACCATTTTGCATTTATTCACATAACCAAAGGCCAGGCACACCAATTCATAATCAGGCATGTACCATTCATTACTATGCACTATAATGTGAATTCAAGAATACTTTTATTTGGCAGCCAAGAAGCCCTTCCACCAAAACATATTTAGAAATTATTTTTGGCTGTTATAGTTGCCATTTGTTACTTTCCAAGACAAATAGCAATGTTTTTCCTATGCATTTGGAGATTAATTAATGCATCATACTCCACTCCCGGCCTTCATACTGCAGGTGCATGTGACAGTGTGCCTGAGAGAACAATGGCAAGGTGACCTTAGAATCCTTCAGTAGAAAACTAGGTCTGTCTGCTTTCCTGCTGTAAATAAGTTACATGGTGGGATTTCCATTTTATAGACCAATTACCACTCAGTCTCACAACTCCCTCTTTTCCATGTTAAATATGAAAAGACTTTCTAGAAAGCACTTTACTGTTTTCATCAACACTTACAAAACTATAAAATAAAAAATGGGTTATGTTATGAGTACCCCTCACAAAGTTGGAAATTTAGTGAGCTAAGGCTATCCATTAAGAGCAATGAAGTTATCTTCAACATTAGTGAGGCTCTGGTCTAGGCAGTAAAGGTACCATGAATTGAGTTGTCAGACCTACTCTCACAGAAATACGAAGGACAACTGAGCTATGTATGATCTGTATTAGATGATAGCAATTGTAGCCTCCTTTGAAGAAAAATGGCAAATTTTAAAGCTCAAGATAATTTAAAAAAATGGAGGACATGAAAGTTTAAAATTAGCCTAATTTAAAAGCATTTCAAGATCAATTCTTGGGCCAGCAAGATGGCTCAGTTGGTAGAGACATCACTACCAAACCTGATGTCCTGAGTTCAGTTCCCAGGACCCATGTATTCAAAGAGATACCTGATTCCCAAGGGTTGTCCTCTAACACCCATTTGCTTGCCACAGCATTCATGTCCACTAACACACACATTCTCAAATACATACAAAGTAAATAAATAAAAAAAAATACTCAATTAGGAGACCCACTTTACAATAAGTAGGCTACTAGTACTGTAAGCAAATATAAACTATTTTACAGAAAATTACATAAATGAAAACTATTTAAATGTTTGACACATAAATATAACTACCAATAACAATGTGTCTACTTAAAATATTGTCCCCATGAAATTTAGAGAAAAGTCTCTTATGTCATTTAAATACCTGCTATTTCTCATAAAAAAGTTAAAATCAGTCAAGAAAAAAAAAAGCATTTAGAGAACTTTTAGTAAATAGCTTCTGACCTCCCTTTACGTTCGTTTCTTCCAATGACATGTCTCAGTATGAACTTATGGTACTTTGAAAGGGAATTTATAAGAACTGTAGTGATGAGAAAATGAGACAATTGTTTCTAAGTTTCACTACTACATTTTCGTACATGAGCGTCTTTGTAGTTAAGACAATTAGATTTACCTAACCTTGAGGAAAGGGCTGAATACCACTAGTTAAAACAGACTGTTTTTGGTTTTTTTTTTTTTTTTTTTTTTTGGTTTTTCGAGACAGGGTTTCCCTGTGGCTTTGGAGGCTGTCCTGGAACTAGCTCTTGTAGACCAGGTTGGGCTCAAACTCACAGAGATCCACCTGCATCTGCCTCCCAAGTGCTGGGATTAAAGGCGTGCGCCACCACCACCCGGCAGAACAGACTGTTTTTAATGCTACTGTTATTGGGCGTTTTTATTCTGCACTTATTTTACTGAATTTCAAGCATAAGAACACTATAAAACCATCATTGTTCAGCTTATTAAAACTGCACAAAAATGCCTAGGACATAGCTTATCTGTCTTATTCAGATCTGTCTATATGCCTTCTGTATAATCTAGTGTAGTCAGTAACTTCAATCAGTATATTCAACATTTAGAAATATTTCCTTTCTTGATTACTTTAAACCAGACATTCCCTAACCATTTTCCCTCATCCCCTTTGCTCAGGTTTCATTTTTGCAACTTGTAAACATTTTTAAAATGCACATCTTAATTTTATCAAATTTTACTTAATGCTCAGTAATCTCATGGCTAGTGTAAAAGAGAAACAATGCAAACCAGAAAGATCCACGTTTGAGCCCGACACCTGACACATCCCCCCCACCCCCCCACAACCACACACACACACACACACACACACACACACACACACACACACACACGTAAAGAAGCATTATAAATTCACCATGCATTCAGACATCAACCACTGTTGATCTGACATTGAAGCTGTGAAGTCACCAAGAGCAAACTAACTTCTTCCACCACTTCAAGATTAATGACCCCCCCCCCCATATGACTAATTTCACCTGGAGACAAAGAATAGAGAAAGACTAGCAATTTCAGTTCATCTACCATTAGAAGAAATGATAGCACGATAAACTCTGGAAGTGCTAAATGTATGTTAAATTTCTATTTTTGATAGAATTAAATCTATTTTCCATCAATAATTACTACTTATAGTACATCAATGTTTATTTGCTGTAATCTGATAACATGAGAAAAAAGGTGATCAAATATACCAAGGAGAAAGTATTTCAATTATAACTGGACAGAAGAATGCATAGATGCTCAAATAATGGGCCTTTCTTGTTAAAGGCAATATAGACCAATACTTCCATGTCATGTATAAATAACATACAATTTTCATAATGATTACTCAATAACTGATCAGTAGTTTCTCTGACAACACAGTTGGCTTTTATTAACAAGTCAGCAGTTTTAAACACAGAAAGAGCTTACGGTATTTATTTTAAAGATATGCAAATATAGTTATATCTTTGAGAGCAAAGCATTATTATTTTTAATAGGTCATTCATATCTAGGACTAAGTATTGCAGTTCAAACCTTTAAAAATAGGCTGACAGAACTTGTATTATTCCTGAACTAACAGAAGCTACAATGTATTCAAATATATCATATCACAAACAGCTTATAACATTAAATCTCCCAAACAGACCATAATCTGAGAAAACATAATCACTTATATTTGTAAATCCTAAGATTTTATTCAAATAATTTCACAGAATTTTCTTCCTAATAATTCATATAACTTCATATCTTAATAAACAAAAAATGATAGTTTTTGTGGCTTGTGTTCTCATAAATTTGGGTCAGGAATTAAATATGTATATGTTCTGCAAGACCAGGATTTACTGTAAATGTAATCTGTCTAATGACTATTGATATTAAAAAGTCGTATGAAACACTTCTCTGAAAGTCTGCCTTCAGTAGGATACTCAGTGCACTGTAGAACCAACTTAGCTTTTTCTGATCAATTTAGTGCCTCATATTTTCTGATACAGGCTTAGAAATTAGCAAAGTATATCTCCTTACTGCAATTCATTTTAACTTACAAGTTGGATTTAGTGATGACATAATCTGATTCCCATGCAATAGTTAACAACTTTTTGTTTAGTTCTAACAGGAATGGGTGCGTTCCAATAAGGTTGTGACTGATCTTTCTAACTGAATCCACATTTGATACCAAAACCATTATCACTCTGAGTTTTGCGAGGTCCACCTCAGCAGGAGATGCAACTAGCATGGAAGCTACCAGGAGGAACAAATGACTGGCAAGGAAAGCCACCTAATAAATGCTGAAGGCAGTAAGTACCTCATGTCAGTCAAGAAAGATGCCTTTTTGCTGATTATGGAGCAACATTGACAGTTCCAACCAAGTTCATCACAGGCAGGAGGGCTAAAAGGCCCATCAGTTATTTCTTTTCATGTAAATCTATTCACTTTCCTAAAACAGTATCAAGAAAGCAAGCACACTCTTCTGGTATTTATGTAAGCATTCTAGCATTAACACATTTACATTTGTCTCAGAATGAGCAGTAAGACTTCTAAAGCCCACCCACTGCCTATTTATTCTAAAATTAAATTACCAAAGTAATCCTTATAAAATGATTACACTATCAGACTCAGTATTTCAATTGAAAAAGTAGGGCACACTTACTAAAGCTTCCAGAAACATACCAAACCAATTTTCTCTCTACAGCACTTAAGAAAACACATGAAAATGAACAGCATTAATTCTAGTTTACCTTCCCAGTTGGTCAGGCTTTCTTCTATTCTCATCAGCTCCGGAGAAGTGTGCCACTTCATGCTCTCTTCATGCTTTTCAAAAATGTTGAATTCAAAACAATAATTCATTTTCCAGTATTTTATACCAGAAGCAGGGACTTTTTTTTTTCCTGGTCATTTTGTAGGAAACTATGTCTACAGAACACTTTATTCACTAAATGGAACTAAGACCAAGACCACAGGAAATTCAAAAGAACTGCATTAGAGTACACGGAGGAAAGCTGACTCAACTGAGAAGTCCCCTCTGATGTTTCCTCATATTGTGGAAGGGGCTTTGATTTGATATTTTTGTTTTGTTTTTCCCCTCTTCAACAAGCCATGGAGCTGTGACATCTGATCTGGGAGAACACGGGACAGAATGATATTACTCAGCTTTGTTTCAAACTGCAACTTTGAAAAGTCTCCAATGGAAAGTTAAGACTTAGGACTTTTAAGTGTTTAGAACTAATTCCTTTTTAACCTCTAAGATAGATATAAGGCAACAATTATGTTTTCTAAAATATAAACACAAGAAATAGTGAAAATAATGCCGGAATCCTGAAGTGTAGTAACTCGGCATGGATCACAGTACTTTGTATCTGTGAAACAATGCCTTCCTACAGGAAGACATCTTGGAGCACCTGAGTGTGTTACAGTGCATGGAATCATGGCTTGTGATACACAAAACAGCTTGCCATGCAATTTGGATAGTTCTATCAAATAAATATTGTTTAATGAATATCTAACTTTTGAAACTATCTAACAGTATAAAAACCCTAACTCATGATACTATATATATATTTTAATCATAGAAGTACTGTCAACTTAAGCAATTAGCATCTTCGTTTTTGCTTTAGCATCTCATTATGAGCAAATGAAATAGTAGAAAGAAAGTTTATGAAGCATCATATAAAGTGAGAGTTTAGCTTAATTCTTTCAGGACAAGGACATCTGACATTACTTCCATTTGACAGATAAGAAAACCAAAACAGACCAGGCAGTGGTAGCGCACACCTTCAATGCCAGCACTTGGGAGGCAGAGGCAGGAGAATATCAGTGAGTTGAAGGCCAGCCTGGTCTACAAAGCAAGTTCCAGGACAGCCAGGACTGTTACACAGAGAAACCCTGACTCGAAAATCAAAATCAAAACAACAACAAAAAGCCAAACAAACGCCAAAATAGAAAAAAAAAAGTACTTGTAATTTTGTTGTAACAAATTAGCTAAAGATTTACATTGTGCCTGATTCAAAGCCTATGCTCAAGTTTGTGTTAGTTTATAACGCAATATTATCCCAGGTGGCTTCATAATAAGATTAAATAACTGTTCCTGGTTCCTTTATTTTCTCTATTCCCCCCTTGCCTCTTTCTAGTCTGGCTATAAACTCATAGTCATTCCCCTAACTCAGCCCCTCCAGTGACTACTCATGTTTGCTAATACTCTGGCGAGATTAATAACAAAAACACATTTTTATGCTGTTTCTTACAGTCCATATAAAATTAGTTTGAAATCTTACAGAAGTTTGATTTTTTTAGTAGGGTGGAGAGAATAAGACACTGACATCTGTCTGTCTGTTACTGAAAGATCTATTTGTGAAACAAAGCTCAAATGCTTTAACACATTAACTACTGTTGGATCAGCAACTACATTACATAACATCTAGATTTAAGTTGTAATTTCTTTTCCCCATCTGTAAAACAATGGAACTTCTCCCACCAATCTCGTAAGTAGTTAATAGTCACACTCTGCCCTTTAAGTTATAAACTATTAGGAGAAAAATGAAAACACTAGCAAATTCAAATTCTCAGAAAACCTGAGACCTATTATTCTACTGCCAATTTAATTGTAATTTTTAATTACAATATTTAATAAAACTTGTTATGTGGCAAAATGTTTTCACTTATAGAAGATTGGTTAACCAAATAGAAACATACTTCATGCATGGACTGCTAAACTAAAATAGATCAAAGAACAGAATTGTTAAACTGTATATATTATAGCATTTAAAAATCAAAGTTTATTAAATATAATTTAAAAATCCAGAAAGGCTTATTTTAGAAACACAGAAAAGCAAATGTATTTTGGACATTAGCTTATAAGGAAGAAACAAGTTTTACAAGTATATAGATACACATTTTAATGAATATCCTTACCATGATTTTAAAACCTATAGTACTTAGAGGAAAGGACATTTTTATATGAAAAAATATTTAATTTTCTACATTAAACAATATAAATATATTTTCAGAACAAATATTTCTAAAGATCAATCAAAACATTTTATACCCAACAAAACTGCTTCATTTTAACATTGTATCTTTCTGAGTTAAATTCTAAACACTGGAAAGGGAGCCCATATTCTTGTCCTGCAGATGTTTTTTAAGTGCTATGAAAATCTGCTATAAATCTGTTAGTGAATACATCAAATTATTATTTGTCTATAAGCTATGGATGTACTAAGTGACAAAATAAGTTGCATGTTTAGACTCTGACTCTCACTTTCCAGCATCATGACACCTCTGTGACTGACCGACACATCATTTCCAGTGTTACCAATAAGGCCTCAGTATGCACTCCAGGACACACGTTTAGATTCTCAGGAAGTTCCTTAAGAACATTTGGGAGCTTCTTTAATGTCTTTATGTTCCTAGCATAAAGATCCAGTAACCAGTCAGTATGTATAGTGGTGGGTTCTGTGTGGTCACTAGTACATGCCATAAGCAACTCACTTAGATGGGCCAACCCTTTGAAAGCTAGGATGAATTCTGAAGATAAATCAAATATTGAACAAAAGCTAAGCAACATCCTACTAAGTAAAAATGAACCAAATTCAAGCTGTTGGTGATAAAATTGTTTCTGTGTCTGAGCATGAAAGTTGTCCACTGTGTCATCTATATTGGTAATGGCAAAGAGTTCTTCCTTGTCTTTAGGTGACAGAATATAATCCAAGGGCAACTCCCCTTTAGAGTTCCTCTGTTGTAAAAGCACTGGGCCTATGAAAAAGAAAATGTAAAATGTTAATAGTAAAATGTTTTTATTTTGGGCAGTTTAACAGCTATTTTCCTTCCTTCCCCCCCCAAAGCTTAAAGGGCTCTATTTTATAGTACCATATTTGCCACTAATTAGCTGCCCACACAGACTGTAATACACTGTATAAACTACAAACCAAAAATTCTTGTCGAAAGTCTAATGAAGTCTGCTTAGAAGTCCATACTCTACAGAAGTAGTATAGATGTTAAATGAAACAGCTTTGGCTACCTTAAGAACAAGAATTTCAGTATTCACAGAAGAAAGTAATAAAATGCCTTAGCTTATGTTCTAAAAAAGAAGAAAAATGTCTCCTTTCCATTACTGATAAACCACCCGGTAATGTGAAAACTGTAAAGACCCTGTGCAGATACAGTACAGTTTTCATTTTATTTATGCTAATGTTTACTGTCTGTAAAGGTAAAGTATTCACAGAAATTTCAATTTTAATTTTTCTAAGTCAAACCCAATAGTTGATATACCAAAACAAAAACAAAACCACACTGATAGTGCTAAAATGCTAAGGAACCAAGTTTATTCCCTAGGTATTAAGGATGTAAGAAGTGAACACAGGACTCAGCCACATGACACAGCACGGAAGTACTCTGTACTTGTCAGTCATAGCATGTGAACCTTTATACACGTTACCTAGGATATGAAGGTACAGTAGGAGACAAAACAGGAAATTCCTATCATTATAACATGGACCACACATATAATGGCTTACATGACTCATGTATAGTTTGTAGAGAAAAGAATTCCAGATGAAAATTGTATTATCTATCTTTGCATTAACATCTCTAAACAAAATTAAAATATTCTAACTTATTGCTGTTAGGAAAAATTATGAATACCTGAAATAAACAAATTTTTAGTGATGTATACTCTTGAAATCATTACTCTCAAGACTGAAAGTCTTGAAATTAATAGATTGTATTATAGCTTAGCATAGTGATAAAGTCAAATCATGTGATAGATTCAAACCTAGAATCTGACTGGATAAGTAAAAGCAAAACAAAACAAAACAACAAACATCAAATATTTTAGCCAATGGACCTTGACAAGCCCAAGTACAAGCATATTTTTCTCTCCTAAGTCAGAGAACCACTTACTACTGTTTGCTAGAAAAATTCACATTGGTTGACCTAACATTATACTATACTGGTAAGCTGGATGTCATACTATAATACCCTTATATACTTATATCATTTGAGACAGAAGCAAATATTTGTTAGAATGTCAGATTAAATCTTTGAGTAGAAAAACAGAATACTTAATAGGACAAGGATTAGGTTTAGAAAACAAATAGTATTTAAAAAAGAAGACAATATCAATTATGAAATAGTGTTGGTAAATCAGACACACTTAGGCCTTTAGGGGGCAGGAGAAGACTATAAATAACCAAGTCTCTCAAGCTATCATGTAACACATCCTTTCTTAGCTGCATATAGCAACACCCCGCCCCCCAAATCAGAAACCAAAAACCAAAACAAATAAACAAATACAAAGCTACATAAAGAATATACCTTTAGCTTTTACGCAGAATGAAATGGTTTATTTACAACATAAACACATCAAACTGTAAGTTAAAATTAGTACAATAAAACCAATAGATTTACACAAAGATTTGTGTTTTTCTCATCATAAGCTAGTTACCATTTTTTTTTCTAAAAACACAAATTAGGTTGAATATTTTGAAGCAGTTTTATAGTAGTTCATATGCAGAAATATCGCTAAAATGGGAGTAGCTGAAGGTAAAAATGAAGGAATCAGGAAAGCCGTAGATGGACATGAAGCTTAAGTTAGTTAGCCTCTTCACAAAATCCTTGCTTTACACTTAATGCCATCTGAAAATCTGACTTCACCTTAGTTTTTTGTAAATATGAATGAGAAAATATTCTTGGCTATCTTTTCCATATTCAAAGAGGAATCCCTTTATAAAGACAGCATTTACTTACAGATATATATATATAATATAACGAATGAAACCCAAAGGCGTCCCCAGAAGCACTGAGTCCAAAGCTCTAAGAAACGACTGGTTCACAAAGACATCATGTATGTTTGTAATGGGAATATTTAAAGATAACATGTTCAACTGAAAAAAACCATACTAACTATGTATGAACCTTAATAGGTTTTAACAGTACATCTATACAATAAAATGACAACAGCTAATAAAGGGTGGCTATATTTTAGGAGACTTATTGTCTTTACTTTTTCATTAATATAAAAGCATCTTTCCTTACAGATTTTTAAATATCAAGTGTTACCTGCCTCGGAGGGATTCATCAAAAGCCTAGATAATTTATCAAAACCCATTTAGCACAAATATACTCACCCCCATGCTGTAGTAGCAGCTTGCCAATTTCTACATGTCCGTTTGACAGTGCATCATGCAAAGGAGTCACCCCGTCCACTTGAGTGAGCAGATCTACCTCTGGACAACGTTGCAAAATTTCCTGGACACACACTGTGTTGCCATAGTTACAGGCTTCATGCAACGGCGTCCAGCCAGCATTGTCTAAATTACAAATCAAGGCAAGTTTTAAAACAGAAGTAGTACTATTGGTTGCAAAGTATTGATGTTCTATGACTCCCATCCTATTACTCTGTAGGACCTTCATATACGAACAACAGCTTTGGTGAAAATGAACACAGTGTAATCATATTTCTACTTAAGAAAATGAAAATAAATAAAAAGCAACTTCAAAATATTAATGTTGGAATATGACCAGGAAACTACTACTAAAGTATTTTATATTATTAGCTCTAAATTATTGCATAATGAATTATTTTTGTTTGACTGCTAACAGTATTTTTTTTAAATTTCTTCAGTAAATTTACTTAAATGATTTCTCTTAATATGACATAAAACTATTTTATATGACAAATTTTAAGACACTGAATGAGAGCACAAAGACCCAGAGAACTTACCTTTAACATTGATGTCTATTCCTGGCAAAGAGAGAAGAATGATCAATTTCTCCACTTGGTTTTTTATGCAAGCTCTATGCAGAGCTGTTTCCCCTGCCATAAAAAATTAATAGATTATTCCAGAGAAGACAAGATATCAACTAAACAAAATAATCAAAGGCCATGAACTAGAATATCTGGACCCATGCCAGACAATTATTTACAAGTTTTCCTTCCAACTGGTTTAACCATCCCTTGAATTAAAAAAAAAAAAAAAAAAAAAAAAAAAAAAAAAAAAAAAGGCAGTGATCTCCAGAAATCCAGAGCTTCTGTCCTGTCAGCAATTCAGCAATGAAACTGTACAGCTTAAGCTCTAATACACTCATTGTCTCTTCCTAGTTCAAGGTTTAAAGCTCCAGTCCTGTTATAAAAAACCCCTAATGATAAAAACACCAAAAATACTTGGTTTTGCAGCAATAAAAGTTTTAAGGCGCAATTGCCCTCTCTTAAATTTATTCATGAACCTCCACTAAATGTATAGCTCTTTCTTATACAGCATTTATAGCTTAATTCAAATGAATGTTTCTGGCTAAGCACGAGTGCCTCCACATACTCAAGTATAATTCAGAACTTCAAATCCATTAACAGATGGTTTGCTGCTTCTCAATAGGCTGTCTGGCTTGGCTACAGCAGCACAGAGGGAGAAATGGAAGAATCTTAATATAAACACCCCCCCCACACACACACACTCACACTCTCGGGTGGGGGAAGGGGAGAAAAGTCCTTACGTACCACTAAGACTAGTAAGTCCTAATTTGACAATAAGAAAAATGACTGTATAGGAAACAAAATGAAACATGAACATAAATTTGTTCCTGCTATAAAATACTGAGTAGCATATTTTTATAGTGCTCAGTTTTATCGATTATCTCTGCAACTTCTACTGAGCATTTCGGCTACAAGCATAGGATGTCTCTTCAAGTTTTTCTATATTTCTCAATTTTCTTCCTCTTCCAAGTCCTGCTGTTCAGCCTAAAGTCATTCACATTAATTTTACATTTTGAAACAATAAAACAAAGAAAACAGACACTGATCTCTGAAGTGAATATCAGATTTCTTACTAATATGCTTCATATTTCGAACTAAATGGGCAGTTATAAACTTCTATAAAACTGAAAAATTGTAAAGACTTTGCTGTCACTGTTTTCATGAGCTAATACATATCAGGAGTTAACATATATGATATAGCTTGTAAATAAGAGACATTTGTAAATCTAACAACTTAGTTTATCCCAGTAGAGATGCCTTGCAGACACATATCTTCAGGTAATCAGATATGAGTAAAGAGGTGCTCGAGTAAGTTATTGCAGCATTATTCTTGAAATCCCATCCATTAGGTACTTAGGCTCCAGTACAGTTAGAACCAAAAGCCAAACACATTTCAGTCTGGGCTCAGTGCCTAGAAGAAAAGAGCCCATATGCTTAACACAGCTATGTAACATAGCCTACTCCTCATTCTTTGTTCACAAAATGTGTATAACTGAAAAGAGCTGAAGAATGAATTATACTTTCAAATCAGAAGACAGTGATTCTAAGCAGCACACGCCTATGTGGAATAGCAAAGTAAGGAGGGCAAGTCTGGAATGAGCTCAACGTGTGCTACACACCAATAAGCACCTAGAAAGGCAGGGGAAAAGGAAATGGAGAGACACTCTATTTACACTAGGGGCTAAACTACCACTTCCTTTGTATAAACGAGAGTTCAAGAAAATAATACAGTATCCATAAAGGTATTTCCTGGACCCAGTCCAATATTTAAGTTCAAACATTCATCAGGGCAAATGTGTGAGATTTGCAAATACTGACTACCACCAGGAAAGGTCTTAGCATAAGTTAATTCAGATATTTGGGATACCTTTTAGATTAGTTTTGTGAAAATTCATCTTTGTAACCAAAGAGGGGCAGTTCTCCTTGGAACACAACAATTCTCCTTCTGATTTCTTTTTCAATTTTTTCAATGATGAGGAACATTTAGCACGGTTCAGCTCTCTGAAAAGAAAGGAAACCAAAGAAAGCCTGTTTTTCAGTAAGGCATGCCAGCATACATAAGATAGTATTTTTCTCCTTTAAAATATATCTTTCTTTTAACTTAAACCATTTCCTCAATCCATCATATTGCTTTCCAATTTTTAAAATCAGGTCAGCTATTATGGGACCAAATTTTGATGCATTAATTTTCACTTTATTAGTCTATATCTCCACTGCTCACTAAAAAGGAATGAGTATAGATTGTTGGGGAAAGAAGAAACCAAGTAAATAACATTTTGTAGAGAAAATAAAGCTGAAAGCTAAGTAAAAATACAGGCCTCCAGAATTCCCTATTCAAGAAGTATCTCATTTTGGAAAGCAAGTATAGTATCTCACATGACCAAACAACTAAAATCTCATTTATATTGCAAAAATAAATTTTATATTGCAAAAAAAATTTCATGTTTCAGAAAGACACTGTATGAAACTGAGACTTGATTAAGTAGGAGAGAAGTATGATCTTTGCATTACAGTAAAAGAAAGTGCTGATCCTATATATTTATAGGTCTAAAATTGAGTTTTCTTCCAATCAATATAATGCAGACAATACCCCAGATAACCTAAAGTTCAAGAAAGCTCAGAGAAAAGTTCATATTCTAAAACAAAGTACAGCTGTAGCAACAGCATTACTTACGGAAATTCTGGCCAACCTTCAACTTGCTTTTGCTTTGCACCATTCAGCATTAGTAATGCTCTCTGAGACTCTAGGAAAGGTCGCTGGCCGATTCTTTTTGGCATCTGCATCTTTCTAGCCCTATGTATGTCCATTTCTCCCAAAACTGGCAAATAGGAGTATATCTGTTACAAAATAAGATTATATCATTACTATAACTACAAAGAGCAGTAAAAGGCATTACCTGATCATTTTACTAGCAAGTCTGCTTTTATTTTCTTCATTTCACAACTACATTGTCACATTATCTTCTCTGAACAGGACTGAATATTAAGGGTACCAGTTCTGTGTAATTATTTTGTTCATATCTTGCAGAGGAGGATACCTTTAGAAAATAATTACATTTTCTAGTGTAATCTTAATATTCATTTAGGAAAGTTCTTTTGATTAAGTCTAATATTCAACTTAGGATTTACATATTTTTATACCTTAAGACTTATAGACAACAAGTATTATTTCAATTTTGTTAATGGTTTTCTTCAACAGAAAGATAAGTCCAGAATAAATGGAATAAGAGGTGAAAATATTCTTCAAGCAAGTCCTGTTGCAAAGCAATTTTCCCAGTATTTTAATAAACTAAGGGACTTGGTGTATTCTGAAGAAGCTTCTAGAGCTTTAGACCTTAGTGTCTAACATGGCCAAGACACGAGAGAACAGGACCAAATGCAGCATATATGTATGTATATGTACGTAGCATACATCTTTCCTTTTTAAGTGTCAAAAAAAAATTGGATGTAGTTTCAAAGTGTTACATATTATGGCATATCTCAGGAAATACTGTTTTGTACTTATTCCCCCAAATTTCTATCACTAATCTTTCTGAAAAGACAGTTTTTATTATTTACTTGTGTGTATGTTTGGGGGGTGCATACATGTGTGCCTGTGATCAAAAGGTCCATACATGCTAGGAAGTGAACTTGGGAGAACCCTGAGCATCTCTCCAGCCCTGCTACTCTCTTTCTGAGATAGAAAATATGAGTTGTATTGTGCCCATTTCTGAGAAATCAATAAGAACTGAAATTGAACTCATGAATTCACTTCTTAGGAAAAAAAGATCCTGAATAAGGCAGTGCTTACTATTTTCTGAAGAGAGAGTGGCTCGGTGCAAGCATTGGTAGGGCCTTGTAACCACAACTTTTTAAAGATTGCTTCTGCAACAAACATTTGAAGCCAGGAGGATGAAAAAGAACAAATGAAGATCTCTAGTTCTTGTGAAGAAAAGTCTGTAAAAACAAATAAATATAGTTATTACGACATCTTACACCTTTTCCCTATATTTTTGCAGTGGGTTCTACTCAATGGAGTGATGTTTCTCCTAAGCCAGTAAAACTTAGTTGTAACTTTGAACCACTATGGATGGTTTTATATGTATATATATGCACGTGTGTATGTAGGTATGTCTAATAAATCATACACATATACCCTTTCTTGTTTTTCAAAAGAAATATTTTAATGGTGCATATGCCAGCATTTGAAAATCAAACACTATCACTTCAATTAAAAGTCTTAAAATTACATATATAATGTCAGCATGCTTTAATCCCAGCAATCAGGAAGCAGCAAAAACAGGGGAACATATGTGTATTGAAATTAGTCCAATCTACATAGTTCTAGGACAGCCTTAGCTACATAGTGAGACTGTCTAAAAAACCAAACGGAAACAAAAACAAAAACAAAAAAAACCATATATGAGTTTCCAAATAACATTAACAACCTCAAATTGGATTTTAAAAAACTCGTTCTTAGTTTTAATTAATTCACTTAATTAAATGAACTGATTAACTTTACTTTTGACACAAGGTCTCATTTTACAGTCCAGGCTGGCCTTACTCATTATCCCTGTGCCTCTGTCTCTGAGGGCAGAGATGTGCCATGGCCAACAACGTTTATTTTTATTTATTGACCCATTTATTTATTTTTAAGACAGGGTCTTCTGTGCCCCTTTGAACTCTCTATGCAGCTGACAATGACCCTGTATTATTTATTCTCCCGCCTCCACCTCCCAAGTGCTGGATTACAGGTGGGAATCAAAGAGTGCCTAGTTTTATTTTAAAAGCACACATTACTTCGTGACATTCAGTCTTGAGCTGACAGAAGTTTCCTCTGATAACACCGATTTTATCACTCAAGAGCTAGAGGACACATACATGATAAAGATAAGAATAAAACAAATATGTGAAGATTTTATTAAAATTTGTACCTACTCTACAATGAGGTAATTTTTAAAAAATTATTTATTTTTTGAGCATTGAATAATGTTTTGCCTGCATGTATGTCTGCATGAGGGTTATCAGATCACCTGGAACTAGAGTCACAGAGGGCTGTAAGCTGCATGTGGGTGCAGGGATTGAATCTGGGTCCTCTAGAAGAACAGCCAGCACTCCCAACTGCTGAGCCATCTCTCTAGTCTCCAGTGAGTCTATTTCTTAAAGTTTCCCTCTTTATCAAAGTCTTATAGGGTAATTAATTTACCCTCATTTAATGTAATCAAAGATGTCAAATGCTACTCAGAATTTCCAAACAGCATGAAATAACATCAATTATCCTTAGAGATAATTATTGTACATAATAGATATAATATCTATAAACATCAAACTTATCAATTTAGTTAGTTCATATAGCTTCAAGTTAAAAGTCCATTTCTACATGTCTTGTGATGTAGTAAAATAGATACAAAACTTCCTCTCATTACTGTTGAGGTCATTGAGGGTCCCGAGATGAAATGTGAGGTTGGGTGTCCAGTTTTCAAATTACACAAGGATAAAACTGGCACTTAGCTTTATTGTTTCCAATTACATAATGTAACAAAGATTAATTTCCAAAGTATGGGAACAAAGTGTTCCCAGGGAAACTCATTTTAATGAAGGACTGAGGGCTCTACAATGAGCATGTCCACTGTAATATAGAAATGGAGCATTTAGTGTGGGGCAGAGGGCTCTACAATGAGCATGTCCACTGTAATATAGGAAAGGAGCATTTAGTGCAGGGCAGAGGGCTCTACAATGAGCATGTCCAGTGTAATATAGGAATGGAGCATTTAGGGAGCTTTAGCAGCACTTGTTTTTTTTATAATTTTTAAATAGACTTTGCTTTGGGTCAAGAGAAGTGGCTCAGGGGTTAAGAGCATTGGCTACTCTTTCAGAGAACCCAGGTTTGATTGCACAGCCATCTGTTAATTCAGTCCCAGGGAATCTGACCGCCTCTAAAGGTACCAGGCAGTCTTGTCGTGTATAGATATACATGTAGGCAAAACACCCATACACCTAAAACACAATTTCATCATTTTTAAAATTTATTTTACATACCAACCACAGTTTCTTCTCCCTCCTCTCCTCCTGCTCCCTCCCTCAACCTTCCACCCTCTATTCACTTCCCCCACTTAGATAGTAAGGTCTCCTATGGCTCAGTGGTAAGAGGGCTGAGGCAGAACCAAGCTCCTCCCCCCTGCATTAAGGTTGGGCATCTAACATAGGAAATAGGTTCCAAAGAGCCAGCTCATGCATCACTAACAGGTCCTGTTCCCACCGCTAGGGACTGCACTAAAGATCAAGCTACACACACAACTGTCACCAAGATGTTGAGGGCCTAGGTAGGTCCCATGCTGGCTCCCTAGCTGTCTTTCCAGTCAGTGAGCTTACACAAACTCAGGTCAGCTGTTTTTGCCGGTTTCCTCATCATGATTGTGACACCCTCCACCCCCTGCTCATACAATCCCTCCACTCCCTTTTCAACTGGACTCCCAGAGCTTGGCCCAGTGCTTGGCTGTGGATCTCTGCCTCTATGTCCATCATGTACTGGATGAAGGCTCTATGCTGACAACTAGAGCAGTCATCAATCTGATTGCAGGGGAAGGCCAGTTCAGGGACTCCCTGTCCACTATTTCTAGGAGGTAATTTTAGTTTATGAAAAAATAACAAACCCCACCAACATCCTTAAATCTCTTCTATCCAAAACTTCAAATGTTAATGACAAAAGTTCATTAATATTCAGAGTAATCGACAGAGATAAACTAAGGGAGCTGATTCCCATGTCAACTATTTAATGATAATAATTTTCTACAAATTTCTAAAAATGGCAGCATAAACAACACACTAGAATGACAAAGAATGAGACCAACCAATAGGATACTAAAAGAGCTAAAGTTGAACAATAAAACATAGTGCAAATAGATGTGATACAAGCATCAATGGAATAAAAGACCCAGATAGAAGTCTATGCTCCTACAGCCACCAATTTAACTAGGGCCATCTATATGGCCATGCACTGTTGGAGCGACACGTTTTCCTCCTCATCAAAACCAAAGGAAATTAGTTTGACTCAAAGACCAGCAAAGGAATGTGAGCAGTGTTACTGGAAGGCCATTATCATTTATTTTTGTGTGAGGGTGTTTTCTTACTACAGCTTCTGAGGTCTAAAGAGCAAGGAGGATTTACCCTAATTGTTTACATAAATGGAAACCTAATCCCCATCTGGAGCTATAGTTTCTCAAGAATTTCAATCAGGATAAGAATGAAATTCAGATAGTTAAACATGCAGAAAGGAATTCTGTCTGAAGTGTTGTGAAAAAACAATGCTATAGCTTTGATGTGGAATTGATGGGTATGAGATCTAATGAAAACAAGAAAGGATTACATTCATCTTCTGAAATACATAGTTCCTTAATTCTCATAAAGCAATTGAAAACTTCAGCAATTACACTAATTGTAAATGAGGAAGGTGAGTCAATGTCTTCAAATGAAAACGGTAAAATAGCCAAATATACCATCCTTACAAATGAGTCAGAAAACACAGAGAATAACTGAACTGATGGAAAGAACAAAACAGGCAGGAATATCCACAAACAACAGCAGCAACAACAAAAGAAACTGGCAAACAATGACTTTCAAATGTCTTCATAAAGTTGTGAACAAAAAGATTATTAAAATACATGGGAAAGTGTGGGGCTCCAAAACTTGCATGATAGATGAATATTTCAATTTTATTTTGAATAAAGAAAGGCTACTTCTCTCTTAAGATTAAACTAATTACTTTATTCCTGTCTCCTGACAAATCTTAAACACTAAGCACTCTTGAGAAAAAATGTAGGAGGATTAATTTTAGAAATATAAGTCAAAAACTTAAAATCGTTTATCCATTCCACAATTTGAAACCTAAGGAACCAATTCTATATATATGTGTGTTTAAGTTTTCATTGCAACTTCTTATTCAGTCCCCCCCCCCCCCACCCCCTCAGTA